AACTTTACAGCAGGATAACTGATTTCTATATCTAGTGTATATAGTGCCTCTTGCGACGAACTTCTCGCACGAAATCGCACAGGTATCATGAAACTCATTGAGACTCAGATCGGTGACGAGGAAAGCATATTCACTGATTTCATCGACGATGATGGTCAAGGTGTTGGACCTTATGCAATCACCTGTTCCATGAAAAAGACGAATGGAAAACTGGTATTCGACTTCGATGGTACTTCTCCGCAAGCCGAAACAGCTATTAATTTCTATCTCTCAGTTACTATGTTTAAGATGTTTGTCGGGTACTACTTACTTGCAGTATTCGATCCATATTGTGTCGTCAATGATGGATTTCATGATATGCTTGAAGTTATTATACCCGAAGGATCTATACTTCGTCCCGTTCGCCCAGCCCCTGTCAGCTGTCGAACTCATCTTATGGGCCGCACAATGGATATCATCCAAGCTCTCATGGGTCAGCGGTCGCCTCAATATAGTGCTGCTGCTGGATTTTCAGATTCTCCACATTTCTTTTACTCCGGTTTCAAGCCTAATGGTGAATGGCATCAACTCTACCAAATTGGGTTTGGAGGTGTTCCAGCCCGTCCCATTGGCGATGGTCCAGATTGTCATTGCTTGTTTCCAGCTATCAAATCTGTGCCCGCTGAGGCCATTGAGCTTAACTTTCCATTGCGAATCGAAGCAAATGAATCACTTGCCGATACTGGAGGCGCAGGATTCCATCGCGGTGGTAACGCACAAAGAACCTTGTACCGATTTTTGGCGAAAGGAGAATTTAGTCTTCATGATGATAGATGGTTCACAAAACCGTGGGGAATTAACGGAGGGAAACCAGGCATGAGATCTTGGAAGAAGCTGTATTCGGTGAATGGAGAGGAAAAAATGTTGCAAAGTAAATGTGATCATGTCAAGGTGGTTCCCGGAGATTTGTTAGAATGGGTTACCTGGGGAGGTGGAGGGCTGGGTGATCCATTCACGAGACCGGCTGAGAAAGTTGCGTTGGAGGTTGAGAGGAAGTTAGTTACAATCGATGGGGCCAAAAGAAATTATGGAGTGGTAGTTAATGAGGATGATTTCTCGGTCGATAAGGAGGGAACAGAAATACTTAGAAAAAAGATGAAGAAATCGAATGAGGGAGAAGGAATAGTTTACAATAGAGGTGGTACTTTGGCTGAATTGAGAGAAAGATGCGAGGAGGAGACAGGATTGAAAGCTCCTGTTCCACAATGGGAAAATGATCCATACGGACCACATACAGGACTAAAGTATGTGCAAGAGTGGTTCAAGGAGAAGAGGGAAATTCGAGGTTGGAATTTACAGTGACGAATCCAGGCGAATTGTCTCTAAACTCGTTATAATGATTTCAATTTTACTCAAATATATTGACTAACTATCCACGTCTGCAGCCTGTGTATCGACTTGTTTTAGATCTCCACGTGCGAATTTGAGATGAGCCCCCACTATCTCCTTGCATATATCCATTTCATATCCACAACCCCCACCGGATAAATCGCTGCAACTCATATTAATTGACTCATTTTTCTAGTAATCTGTATCCAATTTGCTCCAGCTCCTGCATCAACAATAATAAACGACGGGCGTTTGTGGTTTAGTGGTAAAATCCATCGTTGCCATCAATTTCCCGTTTCTTCCTAGAATCTGAATTGATCAATCTCGATGGGCCCCGGGTTCGATTCCCGGCGAACGCATTCCTCTTTTGCTGTTTGGAACAGATTCTCCTTATGGATTCGTCGCTTTGATGTCGATTTTTGAAGTTGTGCTTACTGACTGGGTGGTTGTTTAGAGCTGATTTGATGGGCGAAAATCTTGGTATCGAACCTTTGTTGAAGTACCGAGAGACGCTTTGACCCCTTTTCTTTGTAATTGCTTTTAGGAGAATTAAACCTCTGGTTACCAGCTGTGTGAATGCGTTTGCACTCTTCTACTTTCACTTGCGGCGGGGATAACGTATTAAGCATAATTTTTGTTGTCAATATGAGATGAGCTACGAACAATGACAGTTTCGTCATTTAGTTGCTGTTACGATATATATCAACTCCTTCGCTCTCTTTTTCATAAAGCAAATTGTCCGTGCGCCGGACTTTGCCCTAGTAGAAATTATTGAATTTCTTTCCTACCGACAGATATCTCACAATTTGAATATTCGATTGAGCTCACATGTTCGAAGAGTTTACCAATTGAATTCAATCTCACCTGTATATTATGCCCTCACACATCCTAACTCGAAGCTAACTGGCCCCACTATCATGCATGACCTCCCTCACCTTGTCAAACTGTGCAGTGTACACCTAGCCTAGCACAGCCATTGACCATTGTAAATCATCTTTGAAAATCGATAATCATGACTTCCACTAATTGACATCGTGGTATCCAAACGGAGCATTAAATGGCGTCGTCGATGATTATGAGACAATGGCGAAACACACTCTCCATAGGACATATCCTCAAGATTGATGATTCTTTTCGGAAATTTAGATCTTACTCGACAGCAGCCCCCCTCTTTTGATAAGCGAGACTTCTATGGAAAGTGCAAAGGTAGCGGTAAAGTATCACGATATAACTTTCTTGTCCTTGTCAATTCTTTGTGTTCTCTTTGACTGACTATCATTTATAAAGAATCTAGTGAGGAACCAGATGCGGCCTGATTTGTAAATGAATCAAAAAGTTCCTTTGACGGAGGTGATTATCAAAGCCCGATATTTCTTTATTTTGAAGCATTGAAATTCAGTTTTGTTAAATCTTTAGAATACGGATTTGATCCCATTTATACTTTCGAAATAAAATATCACATCTCTCATCACGATCTCATCAAAATCAACTAGCCATGGCAAATGATTGGAAGTTCCGCTCTCGAATGCCCACCACCTCCATCGCTCAAATACAAATTCCTCCCATTCCACTCCAACGCATCAGCAAACGTAAGCGTGCCACCCGCGTAACAACCAGCGATGGATGCAAAGAATCCAGCATCATCAACGAGCTGCGAAAGAAATATGAAATTGACCTCGAGCACCCTCCTCGCTATCCAGCCCAGTTCACTCACCCTCAACCACCCATCCCCCGCCCAGAACCTGATAAATTAGATAGTAAAATAAGACTTGAGATGGAAAGAAGACAGTTCGCACCAATGACTCCTGATTGGGTTTGGAGGGTCTTGACAGAAATGTACAAAGTGGATGAGAAAAAATGGGGAAAATGGGCAGTTGATTTGGATGGTATGAAATTGGCAAAAGGTGATTGGAGGTATCTATCAAAGGCTCACTATCGTGAATTCGACGAGACCGGTGCAATGGAAGAGTACGAGCTTGGCCATGTCACGAACACTATTGCTGATTTGGTAAGTTGGCTTTCATAAGGTTTTCCAAGCTAGTACTTCAGTTGAACTTGAACATTTGAAGATTATTGCTGATGTGACAAACTATGATTAGTATGTTTACATGGCTTGCGACTACAGGAACAGAGCAATAGCCAGAACACTCAAGAGTGGCGACCTAGCTGGTGATACACCAACCAAACAGAAAATCAGCTCCATAATGATTGATTCTGACAAGTTGTATTGGGATCAAGATAAAGGTCGCCTGGTGAGGGAAGGAGTGGATGAAGCTGGGGAGCCTATTCGTCGGCTTGTGGAGCAAGACTTTCCCAGAGCTTGGGAAAGGACCATGAAGGCATTGGCACAGTATGATGATGAGACTTTTGCCAATCTTGACTATATTGTGATTCCACACGAATATGGCGCCTTCCATACACAATGCATAGGAATAGCACCAAAGCAAAGATTTGTCTTCCATATCGACAACTCCGGTCTGTCGAGACCCAAATTTGAAAGTGCATTAGATGAGACGTACGGCGCTTACTATCATTCGTTTTTTCAAATGTCTTTACTTGAAGCTATCATATACACAAGATTCGACAAAGGAGAGATTGACACCGCCGAGTGGCCCTTGTACGGGCAATGGTCCTACCGCACGGATCATGCGGTGCCAAGGAACAGAACGACAGACAATAGTCCCAACGCAACTCGACAGAACGATCCCTACAATTGCGCTTTGAATACCATGGCCAGTGCCGTGAATTTAATATTTGGATATGATATGGCTTGTTATGTGTCTGGAAAAGATCTCTCCCCCATCCCTGGATTGACAGGAAAACGGATACGAGTCGCAGCGGAATTTTTAAATGGGGGATTCAACTACCCATTCAATTATCCATTGTTCAAAATCCCAACAGAGCTACAAGAGATCATTATTGATGAAACTTATAAGCAAAATATTCGACCCCCTCCGGCCGTAGTAGGAAATATCATGGAGGAATGGGATGAAGAAGACACAGAAGATGAAGCGGATCCAGACACAGAGGAGGAAGAGGAGAAAGCATCCCAAGCAGAAGCTCGAACAAAAGTTAAGAAATCCACTAGGTACAAAAAGGTCAAATGGCATGGCCAACCCGCTTTGGATTGGGATCCTGGAGAGCCAGATCCGGCAGGACCAGGATCTACAGACGACGATTTACCAATACGAACTCTTTGGCCTGCTCAAATGGACCCTACTAGAACGGGGAAATGTGGCATTATATACCCGATCACAAAGCCGCACTTCTCGGATCCAACGTATGATGATGTATTCGAGTGCAAGAAGGCAGCCATATTCCACCAAATGGAGGGCTGGGAATTGTGGGAGCACATGCCATTGAATATGTTCAAGCGCTGGATGGAGAATGTAATGGCAGGTAGAAGACATGAAGAGTTGTCTCCATGGGTGAAAGTGCTCAAGCTTGATGGACGTGTTTTCTCCGAGACAAAATATTGAGGGGCGAAGGCGAAGATGCCTAACAAGACTGTATTGACTTGTTCCGAAGCAGTCTTTCTGAATTTTTACTCGCAGATGTTACTGATTCATATTTAATTGCGTTTGAATAAATACATTGCTCATATCTTCTCATTGAACCTACATATCACCATCTCAAGTCTTTATGAAATAAGTATTCAAGGTGTTTTTCTGTGGTGACTTGCCGAATTTCTTTGTCAATGCCTCTTGCTCCGACTTTTCGGCTTTTTCACCAACCTTCATTAGCTCACATAATTCTTCGAATTCAGCAGAATTGACAATTCCACCTGAGGCCTCCTTGTGGCCACGAGCAAAGTTCTCTCCTAATCGCTCAACTAAATCTGTAGTATCCAAATTGGCCACTGCTTTTAATGACTCGATAATATTGACTGGTGGATCGCGACCTCGAGCACATCTAGCAATCCGACATGAGAAATTTACCTTGCCGGGCAAGTAGCCATAATTTGCCACCATGACTATTTCTAGGGCTTTAGATTTCAAGAAGCCGGCCTTTGTAGAATGATTAGTGAAATGAAGTAGTTTCAGTGACTCAATACATACCCATCGCGTAGCAATAACCGGGTGGACTTGAGCCTCGCTTTCGATTTTCAACACCGCAATTTTCCCATCTTTACTGAATTTTGGTGGTGTATGAGTCTGTTTCTCAACCTCTTCATTGATCTCGCGTCTTGCTTCGGCGAGCCTCTTATCTGTCATGATTTCTTTTGGATCTTTGGCTCCGAGTAGTGCTTTCCAAGCAGTAATAACATCATAAGTACCAGTTCTTCGTGCTATATGAAGTTCAGCGATTGAAGTTTAGGAATTCATTGAACATACGAGCGTTAATCAAAGAAACACAATCATTAATGAGCTTTTTTGTATGTTTCTTAAAAGTGTCTTTCATATCTGGAAATGGGGGTATCCATTTTATGGTATTTCCTAGATCACCATGTGTTCCGATTGCGCAAAGATAGCCACATTCTTGAGCAATATCAGAATGAAGTTCTTTACAAATTTCGTAAGTCATGAGAGCTGTCGTTGGAACTGGAGGGCAATGGCAGCCTGAAACAACCTTCCCTCGAATGTTAGTATCGTTGCCACAAGAAGAATGTTTTCCACCTTACAGTCGCATTCTTGGGAAAGTCATCACTTAAATGATGATCAATGATCATACATTTCGCACTCTCATCATCAATGACAGGTAAACCTCGTCGACTTCCCTGGTCTAAAACAATCACATAGCTAGGTTTCATTTCTGCCATTGCCTTTCTTTCGTATTCTTCATGGATATTCGAACCTTTCCGCACTAAATGAACACTCAAATTCTTTTCTTCAAGTCCGAGTTTTATCAAAGTACGATACATGATTACCCCAGCACTCAATCCATCTGCATCTTTATCCGGCACAATAAGAGTGGGTTTCTGAGCCGTTGCGCATTCTCGGATGAATTTGTAGGCAGATTCTAGTTGATCACGTGGCGCTGGCCAAATCTCTTCGCCTGCGGAAGTACGACGGACGGGAGTACTGCAGTAATCATCGATTTTGATGGTCTTTTTTGGCGGCTCTGATATGATTTCGGCTTTTCTTTTAATTCCACGATCCATTGTAGGAACTCCAAGAGTTAGATCTGAAGGGCTGGGGCGTATTGATAATTTTGTAGGCAAATTATTGATCCAAGGCCTAGCGGAAGCGGTATGATATGGAAGACTTCTCCGAGCCAAGTTACGGAAAACAAAAAGCATTGATAGGCTTGAAATGTGCACAAAAGAGTTGAATGCAAAAGGGAGAGGTTACTATTTTTATATATACGAGTAGAATGGTTCACATATAATCTGTGTGCAATATAATATGAAAATGGTGGTTTTGCTTTGATGAAGAAAGTTCGCCTTGGTCAAGGGGTTAAAGGTTAATCATGACGTAATCCATAATCCATCAATCAGCGCGGTGCAGTGCGGATTAACTAAGCTATTGAATCTCCACCTCCTTTCTTTCCATAAGATCATTGCCATAATCAATTATTTATAGAATGGAGAGAATCATTATTGAAATCGGTATACCCTTTTCCGGCTTATGTTTCGCATCAGCATATCGGCCTGTTGTTCAATGTTAAAACGTCCATAACACAATTTGCATGAAATGTGGTGTACGTAGGGGCTGGCGGTGCTTGCCATGGCCATCACACCTCAGGGAAGGTTAACATATCAAACATTCTCTCGAGTGTAGCATTTGATATGAGAGGTGAGGAAGACTATAATCTGCGGGACAACAGGGAGCACTCCTCAGGTCTTTTTTACAGTTGGGTTCGAATGATTCATTTCACCAATTACATTTTTATTCACAAGCCCGCACATTTGAGGGTTCGGCACGTTTATTTTATTTTTACAAAAGGAAATTTTTTTCTATTTTTCTATCGAATCAACAAGTCAAGAACTCCGAAGAGTATCTATCTATCTATCTATGTCGTGAGGGAAGGTGTGCTTTTTGAACGACTTTGTGTTGAGGTTGAGAATCCGTGAATGAGTGATTGGGTTACCCCATTCTCAGAAAGTCCTCGCCCGCAACAATCTTCCGCCCTGCTCCTGCTGTGAAAGTTTGAGAGTGGAGCACAAATCATCCATAATCTTTGAATGTTTCTTGACCAACGCTTGATGCTCTTTCCAAAACAACTGGAATTGTTGGATGTTGCAGCCGACAACTTCGGGGATCTCTCTGCGATCCTCGATTTCCTTGGAGCCATTATCGCAGGACTGCGATGGCGCTAGGATGATTCTGCTAATAGGGATGTATGATGACGAGTACGCCGCATCATTTTCATCGACTGATGTAATGAAGAACTGCTCGTAGCAGAGATCACAGGTGCAATCCTTTGGTGTTTCATTCTTTCCGTGAGCACTCTGATCTAGAATGTCGTTATTGAGCTTGGCGTGGATGGGCCAATCGATCTGGAATTTGATGAATCTAGGCATCTTGTTGGTTTTCTGGCTAACTCGTGAAGTTCTTCTTTCTGAAAAAATCGTGGTGGATTTGTTTTTGAAAGTTCGAATATTGAGTTATGAAGAGATAGTAGTCGTTGTATGTGGGTGTGATACTTAATGAGGATGAGATGAGAAGAGATGAAATTGATATGGAAGGATTGATGTCCTCCTGATATACGTTCGTAAAGATACTTGTTCAAACATTGTTCCATTGTCAATCAGACAAGCTTGAGCCGCATGTAAGAACGAGAACAGGATAAAATTGTCAGTGTTTAGAGTAACCTCACTGCCATATTGTCCCCAACGCGATGGTTGGCGAGAACAATGGGCATTGTTCAATCTGATCTGTACATAAAGTCACAATGAAAACACCTTTATCCAGGACACTTGTTCTTCCGACTTAGGCAATTCATCTCTTTCAACTTAGTTCACATCGGATTGTTCTCATCAATCAACCTATTTAACCCAATTTTTTTAATCCTCTCCAAAATGCAATGTCACCAATTTTTTTCCGCTTGAGATTCTCTCAAAATTAGCATTTCTATGTGCAACATCAACTTCAACAGGTGCAAGTGACCAGGTATCTTGATCTTTGGGTGCTTAGTTGGAAATTAGAATTCTGAATTTCGGATTCTGGAAACACACAAAAAAAAGCTTGAAGTACATGGAGCGAACCTTATTGAATGTTCTGCTATTGTTCTGACATGGAGGCTTATATCTTGTGATAATTTGATGCGCAATGGTTCTCCATTGGCTACTTGTATGTTCATATTGAAAAGAATTTCTGGATCTACTTCTCCTGTATTTGCTTATACAATGTGGCCCCGAATGAATTCCAAATAACTTCCTGAATGTTTGTTCAGCTACGCCAACCCCATTCTCACGAACTCAGCACAGTGTCAAGATACCCAAGGAACAAACCTCAAACAGCATTATTCTAAGCCATTCCTTGCCCTATAAATACCAACCACTTCGTCCTCAACATTCCTAATTCTTTTTCTCCCCATTCACTCGAATTTTGACAAGATAAGACAAACACAAAACTTCATCGAATCCAGATTCAGAATCCCAATCCACATCCCCAGATCACAAGTTCAAGAAGTCACCACCAAAACCACAAAGATGAATAACGGAAGCGACTCCGGAGTCATCTATGACGAAATCACAGAACGTTTGTACATCGCTCTCCAAGGAGACCGAGATTTCGACGATCCACCCATCGGAGACCCAGCTCTCGAAGAACCCATCATCGACGACCCGCCAGTCGAAGTACCCCTTCTTCAACTCCGAGCACAACCGCCGCAACCACAACCACAATCATCCCGATGCTCAAACATCATCACGTTGATCAAGACCATCGAGTTGATTGCTTTGATCGCCATGGTTTTCTTCCTCCTCTTCGACTACTTTTCTCCTAAACCCGCACCCACTCGAACCGGACCACCACCTCCAACACCAGCCGGACGGTGAAAAGTCGAATCCTTATTCAGTCAATCCACAGGGATGGCTAGGATAAGAATTGGAGGGGATGAGGGTGGATGAAGAGGAGGCAGAAGGAGACAGCGTTCCCCACAACACGTTTTCTTTTGTAGGACAGACTGAAAAACCTGGCGTTTATCAATCGAAAAAACATACAAAATTTCAAAAAAAATCAAACAATAATTTTAACCGGAAAAACAATCAGTGCCAAGATAATACTAATGTGACTTTGATAGTGTGCAAAAAAGTAACTTTGAAACAATTGAACGAAGAAGTATACAAGAGTAACTGATGTACAGTTTCCGAGAAAATGAAAGATTCAATTCAAGAGTCAAGGAAATAAGATTTTTGATCGCTCTCCATGCAATCATCATTTCACCTACACATGCACTAATACGTGCAATCAGAATGACTGACCCACTCAGGTCAAGTAGATGGATGACCCCCAATCTCTGCCTTGCGACACATATGACCTATCCAATAGGAAAAAGGAAACTATGCAGGTTTCCGACGAGCGTCAATGCAATTATCCGTATGAATTATTCATCGTCAGGGATCTCGAGCCCTCAAGTATTCTTCTTCCCTTTCGTTTTCAGCTTTTTGAACACTGATTCCCCCTATACTCTTTTATCACTAAACTCTTGCTCACAATATGTCCACCGCATCCAACAGCCAACTTTTAGCCACAACAAAACGTATTTTTCATGAAATCGCCCAGCAACTTTTTCTAAAGACCCGAGAGCCCATAAGACCGCAGAATTATAGGAGCGGTACCTTTCGGCAGTCGAAAAGTTATACACTTCTCCATGAGGAAGAGCAACATCTAGCAGATCACATAGCAGTCCTGGCCCAAGCTAAGGAGGGCGCAACTGGTGTATCGGCAGCTATGATCGAAGAGGGCAGTGGCCGAAATTCGTCATCCCTAACCATTAGAATTGCATCAAACGAGACGCCTTTACCAGAAACTGTGGATGGATTGCGTAGATGTTTAGACATAGTGGAGAAAGCTGCTCGTGAGGGTGCGTCGGGATCAATATTCCACAGAACAGGAATGAAAAAGTCGAAAACTAATTCATATATATGGTTCAGAAACGGACGAGCACAAAGGTACTCACAAGTCAAACCTCCTCATGCAAATCATCAAGCTGAGCAAAAATCGTCTGCGACGTCGTATTGTACCAAAGAATCGAGGTGGAAAAGTCAGACCTCCGCTTTTTGACAGTGTTGAATCATTGCGATGTAGGCTTTTGGTATTAGAGACCAATATTGAAAATCCCTCTCTACAAAATACTCTTTTTGTTGATCTTTCAGAACTGTGCCAGAAGATTGAAAGCTTTACTCTCTCTTCCGAAGACAAACAAACGGATCGATTAACCTCAGTAATCTTAGCTGCGCACAGAGTGTCGACGACTGCCAATTATCCGTCACTTGAATGTCAGCTCCAAATGAAAGGCATTAACCTGGATCTCAGCTACCGCCGCACTGTCTTCCAAATCGACAAGATAAGCAGATACCTAGACATCAGTAACGACCTGATAGACTTTTCCCGGAAAATCAGGTGTAATGGTTTATTTCGCAACATCCGCTTGGAAGTGTGCACGGCACCCAAGGCTCAGTATCACAATGATCAAATCTTGCATGTTCATAGTGAAATACAACTCATCTTTTTCTATGAGCAAAATCCTGCGGACTTGCCTCCAAGGTGCATAGGATCTAGTAAGTCGGCTTGCTTTCTATTCATTAAGAAACATGGAGTGTACCGTATTTCGCATTCGCATGGCAGACTGTATCCAAAATGGACGGTGCCAGAAGGAGAGTGCGTGAATGAAGAGTTAAATCTAAGGTTCAGTGAGATTTTGAAAGATATGAGTCAGGAAATGCTGCAGATCAAAAAGAATTTCGTGAGACGACCCGGGTATGAAGGAAATGGTGCAGAGAGCAGAGTACATCTATTGATACTTCCGTCGAACTTCAATGCAATTTCAAGCCCTACAACAGAAATGAGAGCTTCTTTGAGGTCAGGAACTTCATTAAAAATTGCCGTTATTCATGAGTCTCAGTCTGAGTTCTGCGAAGCCTCGAAAGCCGCAATAAACACCACATGCCAAGCTTGTGATCTCCCGCCAAGTACGACTACCAGTTCGACTGTCGCAACAGGAGCTTTGAACGGGGTTAGTACTGCTCTCGAATCAGGGGTTATCTCAGGCTCCAACTCGGTACCTTCCATTAGCTCAAAATCACCACACCCAAGTCCCTTATACGAGTGCCACTCACAAAACCTTCCCATTAAAATCCTTATCTCACCCGATAACCTCCTAGACACGATCATTCTCTCCATCGGTAAAGTAGAATACATATTTGATATTCGCGATATGGAATTTGGATATCTCAATATCAAACCAACGAAGCAAATTGATATACTGAAAGGAAGGAAGCGATCGCAAAGTAAAGGATTAGCTGAAGAAAACCATGAAGAACTCCGACTTATAGATGTCAGGGGTTCTGAACTTGATGGCGAAGTTGTGCTCACCGGCAGAAATTCGGATTCAAAGGAAGTGGAGTTTTTTATGAATGATGGGGGAGAGTGTAACATTTGTGTCAAGATTGTATGGGGTGTAGAAGAGGGGTAATGGAGGAGAGAAGTGATGTGAATCCCAATTTAATGATCATGGTCATCAAAGTGCTTGAGATTCGGCTGTTTGGGGACAAGCAAAACGCAAAATTTCATTCTCATTGGCTGCAACTTACAGCCAAGCCAGCACACCCCATTCACCGTAGCATTCTGGATAACAAATCTTCGAGAAATATTATTATTCATTCATGATATTACATTTGATATTTGTCTCGTCCTACTAGTATGCGCTATCCTCGTATACGAGACCTGACGCGCCTATTACACAATCATATATCCATATCTTATTGTGTGCATTCGCATTCGCATTTGCTTGCATTCCGTTCCCAAAAGAGATCCCATCCATCCGTGCAGCCGCACATCCCAAATTCCTAGCAGGCAAGAGGAAAGACGGGAGACATAATAGACATTCATCCAGTAAATTCCCGATCTCCCTTTCCATTCCCATTCCCAACCTCATGTCTTCAATAAATATCATTATCAAGATAGAGGATCTCCCTTGAATCATATCCCCTTTGAATAATGCAAAATCCTATCATGTCACTTCTCCGGACCAGCCAGACCAAACATCTTCGGCGTCTCGCTCCAAATGATTTGCTCGTCGCACCGAAGAAGGCACCCGTAAATGAACCAAAGAAACAAAGACGAAGAGCGCAAGAAACATCCCCCTACCACCCATTAAAACAAGATATATCGGGAGAAATTAAACAAAGAGAAAAGGTATAAAGCTTCCGCCTGCACAATATCGGAAAATTGTCATATACGCCATCAAAACCATGCCACCAGGTATATCGAGATCAAAAAACACAACTCCGATGATTCACCATCCAACACTATCGATGACTTGAACGACTTAAGAATAATCATACAGCCTGCGACCGACCTAGCAGCCAAAAAGCAGGTATTTCCATAGAAGGAAATGTATCCTGGATTATGAGGATGCGGGGTGGTTGCGCTTTACCATCCTTTCTTTCTAGCGAAACGTTTATTCAAGAGAGCAAGAACCTTTGGTACATTGAACTGAACATACTCCAGGTCAAGATCTTCTTGATTATCCTTTTGCATCTCGAGTAAGTCATCAAGTTTCAGATCAAGCTCCAGTAGGCCACGATTTCGTCCTAGTAAAGTTAGCATGTATTCATAGAGCTAGAAGGATAACCCGATGTTCCATACCTTTGTAATGTAACGAGATAACAAAGGTTCCGGGCAAAGGACTGGTAAAGTTGAAGTAGATATTGGCTCTTCTGTTGTCGGGTACGTTGCTCTTCTGAATGACGCCTTGTTTCTCCAATTCGCCATGAGTGAACTTATACGGACCCAAGACTTGATGCTTTTGTTGTTTTCGCTTGGTACCTTCACTTTGACTTCGAACATTGTGCAGATAACTTTTGTAAGTTTCGAGTTGACCGACTAGATAAGTGTTGTGATCTCGAATGGTCTTGAAAACTTGATCGAGTTTTTGAGTTTCGAGAATAACTCCGTCTTTGAGTGATCCAAGATGTTGGAGTTCTTGTTCAACTTCATCCCGCAAAAGGCTGAATTGATCTGACTTATCAATGACCCCCAATTCCTGCAACTGGCTCAATAATTCCATAGCCCGAATACCTTTTCGTACCATGACAGCATCATTTCGGTATTGACCTGCCGCATCAGCAACTCTTTCAAGACGAAGCGGTCTACGCGCCACAGCGCTGTTGCTCGGAATTGATCTCATAATTTGAACGAATGTTGACTTTGCTTCCATAAAGAATACTTCCTCTTGGGTAATGTCGAGTGCAGCCGTCAAATCATCAATCGCGGTTTCCCATTTGCTAAACAGTGGCAAGTTGATAGCCCTGTTGTCTTTCCTGGGTAATTGTGCAGGGGCTGGTCCTAAATCGGCCAAGATTACTGCCAAATGTGAGTTCTCATCCTTGTTGAGTTCGGCCGTGTGTTTATCGAGTAAGGCATGCGTAGCATAAACTTCATTGAGGGTAATTGATAGCTCCAAATCCTTCTTAGATAATGCTACATAGTTGTCCATTTCCAAACTTTCATAAAAATCCTGAACTTCACAAAGATCAAGCATAAACTTGTTGACTCGTTCTTTGTTATGTTGAATGAATGGTTGAAGTTTGGCCATATATGGTTCCTTTGCATATGAGGGTTTGTTGGCAAGGTTTTGAAGCATCTTAGCAATCAAGGTCAAAGTTCGTCTAGGTCGATCGGCTGGAGTTCCATCAATGAGCATATATGATTTAGGGGTGACAATAGCAGGGTTGATGAATCGCAAGAAGAAGAACCCTCCGATAAGTGTACAAATCACTTGATCGTTGGCATCAGGGTACTTTCTCTTTGTGAGGCTTCGAATTTGTTTGCAGATCCATCGAATACCATATGGTGTTTCCTCTAGCCCATCGATAATTGTTGTCAGGAATCCATTTGCAATCTCCATAAGCATTGTTAATCTTGGTTCGATAATAGCCTGGACCTGTGTATTATCTGCCGCTTGCTCTGCTGTTACTCCTCTGGGTAGGGAAGCCGGAAGTCCTCCTGTCTCCAGCTCAATCTGTGCAATCATTGTTTCATAGACCTTAAGGGGATTGATTTCCAAGTCGAGATCCTTCAGCTCAATAAGTCCATTGATTCTGTCTGCCAGTACAGTCTTCAAATAACTCTGCCCGGGACCTCTTCTGGTATATGTTGTCATCATGCGAGATACTGGTGTGTTCGCACGGAGGAGGGAGGAATATTCTGGCGTGTTATCAAATTGGTATGTTAAGACAGACTACGAAACAAGTGTCAGCATTGGAAGCAGCTCAATTCACCTGGGGTGTCGCTGACCTGAAACATAGTCAAGAGCAGGTGCTCTTCACGGCTCTCGTATTGATTCCCGTAAATTGTGAACATGACTGTCTGCAGTAAAGAATCGATCTCTGCCATAGTGACAAGACGGCACAAATGTGCAATGTGTCTGGGCTCCGATTGAAGCAAAAACAAAAGGTTGCCATATTTTTGTGTCTTCTCGTCATTTGGGAAGAATCCTTCTTGTAAGTCGGTCGCATCTTCCAAGTGACTAGCTACCTCATTTTGCTGAGAGAGATATTAGTTGAGAACCTTGTCCTGAGAAGTTTAGGTTCCTACCTCTTCCAAAGCCATGCGATTCTGAATCAATAATGCAATTCTCGAGTCCAAATACCTAACATCTTTCTCCAACACGAAATTCTTCTTCGATTGTGATGAAATCTTCGACTTGAGCTCTCGTAGAACCTTTTGTGCTACATCAATGCATCAGTACAACATTCAAGCCAATGCCAATTGCACCAGAATTCTTACCTTTAGCAAGATCATCCTCAATTTCCAAATCCTTCTCGTTCGCAGACATGGAGAGATATAGAGTAGTCATAGAATATCTCTTTGATTGACGGGCAGAGCGAGCCCCATCGTGTGAAGACATTGTATTTTGTCGAGAAACTGGTTGGAAGGAAGAAGATGAGGCTGTCGATGCCCGAGAAGGGGTTTGAAGCATTACACTCATATCGTTTGTTGACCGAACAAGTCGGATTTTTCTGTAAATTAAATTGAAGTGCCAATATCTTTTGTAACACTTTCAATGGGGTCTTTGATACACCGTGGTGTGTTGCGCAAAAAAGAACAAAGAGAGTTGTCGATCTCTTTTCTTTGGTTGGTCGAAAAGGGTAGATAGATGGATTGAAAGATTGGTGGAGGACGATTCGAAATTATTGTAAGATGCCTGGAGCAGGTGGTGATATGTAAGTATGTATGTTGTTGTATGCTGTATGTATGTACTTCTAAAAAGATTCGAAAGATCAGACAATAGTTGGAATAGTTGAGCAAAGTTCTGTTGAAAAGAAGGAAATATATTATCGTAAGGTTGAATAAAAGTCGAAAATGAGAGTGAATTGGATGCGATGGTATGGTTTGGAGGGAGCACACAGGCTTTGTTGAATTTTTGGGAATTGCGAAGGAGGGCTTGTAGATCGACCAGCGAGCCGCTCGGGTCTTCACCCCAAATTACTTGATGAAAATCTTTTTTTTTTCTCTCTTTAAAATAGAATGGAAAAAACAATCCTTCAATTGAGATATAACATGAATGATTCAAATGGAGAGATCGTGTTGGAATATTCGCATGCGGCGCCGATGACTGAATAATATGTTGATGGGTTGCGTTGTCGCAAAAAAAAGAAAAAGTTCCGCATGCAAGAGGATGAAATGATGTCTGGGAACGTCTGTCAAAAAATGTGTAGTAATTGATTGCGATACGATGGATGGGTTGTGGTGCGTTGCGTTTCGGTGCGTTTCGTTGCGTCGCGTACAATAAGTAAATGAAGGGGCGAGGTTTATATTCGGGATAGTATATTGATTGAAACAATATCGGGGAATTGATTCAAGCTTTGGATATCTAGGTATCTAGGTATACGAAGGAGAGGTAATGTTGCCAAATGTGCGAAAGTGTCGTCGGAGAATAATAAAGTAATAAGTGAGGTAGGTGAATGAGGTGGTGGGTGAAGTGGGTGTGAAGTGGGTGACGCGGGTGAGTTGAGTATTACTTTGATGAACGATGCAAAAATGAATGATGAATGATGAATGATGAATGATTGATCAATTGGGATGTTTTAAGATGTAAAGTTAAAGTTACCTAGTATGTTATGGATGGATGAATGGATGGATGAATGGATGGATGTATGGATGGATGTCCACGGGTATGTAGGTGAGATGATGAAGTGGGACGGACGTTTGTTCGTTTGCTTTGGCGGGATGGGGAATGGATGAGATAGAGTTGAGAACAGACGAGGGAGGGGATGAGGGGGTTTTTCTGCAGAGCAAATAGAAAGTCCTGGGTCGGTCGGTAGGTAATGTATGATGCTGGGCAAACGAACCGTCGTACCGGTGTGTGGGAGGATGAGTGTGTGAGTGCGTGAGTGAGTGAGTGAGTGAATGTACTCTGTTCTGTATACTCAAGTAACCCTTTTTCCCCAAGAATTATTCCTTCTTCGA